AGAGTTCGTTTACGTTTTTTGTTTGCGTTATGTAAGGCATCACAAAATGAAAACATTTTGCAACTACTTAAATGAAGTAAATTTAAAGTTTCATGTCAACCGCCATTATGGATGCGAAGCTTTTTGCTTTGTTCTTTCTCATATCACTTTATGAAACAACTTCGCAGCTGTAAAAATCAATGAAGCTGTTGGAAAAATAATTTGAAAGGCCTCAAAGATAAGGTCTCTGTGGTTCGTAACATCGATTCGCATTCCATCGAGTGATGCTCAAAATGTTTATAAACATTAGGGTGCTGAGACTGCGCAGTACTGACTGAAAATCATCTTTAATATTACCTCTGTTAAAAAAGTTGACATCAATAGGCTCTCAAATGACTAGACCCTGACATATAGTTATTAAACCAAAGTAGTGTCTCAACAAGATGCGTAGCACAGTTCTATCAAATAAAATGGTTTTGAATTCGCTCTGGAAAGTAACGTGAGAGTAAATATGTTTTATTTGCACTCTGGTTCACTCGGGTCTTGAGTGTTTTGGGAACATTCCTAACCAATCAGGGCAAGCCTTACGGATGAAGAATGAAACCTAAACCAACCGCACAGGTTACCCAAGCTCGCAAATGAGCGTTCCTTGTACATCTGTTATAGAGGACAAAGCAGTGAAGCTTAAAACCACATAGATCGGCCTAAAAAGACCACGAAAACCAAGGAAACACACACTTGAAGTGAAATAGGTCTATTTTTGTTCATAATCCTTCGTATCTTCTAGGCTTAAGAATAGAACCGTTTTCTCCATACAAATCCTGGCTTATTGACTATTGCATAACCTGAGTGCTAATGTATGTACAAGGGACGTTCATTTACGAGCACGTGTTTTACCGCGCTTTTCACGGGTTGCATGTTTTCCCGTGCTTGGCGCCAGTTGCACGATCTGAAACAGTTCATTGGGTTGTTTGCGTTTGTCTGCATGATTAGCCGATCGAAACAATTGTGTTGGCTTTGATTTCAAGACAGTTGGTTATAGAAATCTGGCCGTTGCTTGTTGATCGAGTTGCACAAAGGTTGATTCACAAGAATTTTCTTCCATATTGCTCTGCAGGTTTGGATTGTTCTTTCCATTTCAATCAGTTAGAAAAGCGGTGCTGTCATCTAGATACTCGTAGTGCAGTCTCAGCGCAGAAAAACGGATGTATATTTTCCACTTGACGAACAGGACAAACCGAACTAGCTGAGAAAACAATGCAAACAGGAATAGCAGTGTAATCACCATGGGAAAGAAACAAAGAACAGCTACTATAATCCACCTTAAAACCACCATGATGTGTTTGTTAGGTCCCTCGGGTTTCACGGCAGAAGACGTCAGGGTGGCCGCCGTGAGGTTCATGATCGCTATACACGCGAGCGCGCCTAAAGATAAAGTTCCAAGTTTGTCCGCCACAGGGTCTCGGAACGGCTTCTTGATTAAATGAAGGGCCAACATCAGGACACATGCCATGGACATGCACAAGAAAAGAAGCATGGAATTTNCGTTGCCGTTGCCGTCGTGTTTTGCGCCAAGGACGACGCCTAGTCAAAATGAATTTACATTTTACCGGACGAGTGAAATTCGTTATTGTCTAGACCTATTCAGTACGCTTATGGCTCTAAAAACGTGCTCAGGCCAAATATGCTACGATAGCGTTCAATTCCAAATGTTAATACGACAAATTAGCCGTCGTCGTTAGGGGTTCTCAATGATACGCAGAACTTCGCCATTTCACGTTGTTGTCAGTTGTGCAGAGGGCGGCAAAGAAATGTACAAAGATTTATAACGCACGAGTACAGCTATTGTTCTGCTTATTAAACCTTTCGTTTGGTGACGTTCTCGTTGCTGTTGCTGTTGCCGTTGCCGTCGTGGTTTGCTTAAGCTCTCTTTAACCTTGGGAATAAGGCCATTATGGGGATTAACTCTCTTAGTTTACTCTTCTCTCTCCTTGGTTTTAGTCCTCTGGAAAGGGTAGACAGAGAACAAAACCCACCTAAATTGCCATAATTGGCCTAGAAACCTTTACGGGAACCAAGGAAACACACACCTGAAGCATGGTAAGTTCACCTCTATTCATTCTCCTTCGTATTTTTTAGGCTGAAGAATATAACCCCTTTATTTCGACCGTTGCGTAACCTCAGTACAAATGTATGTACAGGGACGCTCATTAGAGGGCTTGGGCTACTTGTGAAACTGCTAGACAAAGACATAAATCTCCTTCGTTACCCATGGCCCACCAGCGACATTTAACTAGGCTACAATGAACTCTTTAACTGTTAGTTTGTAGTAAACTCTGGTAAGTAGCCCGATATGGACATGAGATTTTTAACAGACTTCGCATATGATGCACTCTCTCTGTTATTAGCTCCTACATGTATTTTAACCTTTTCCTTTTCTTGGACCTATCTCGTTTTCTATTTTTTTTTTCTACGCAGAGTGACATACACAANCTTCATTGTAAGATTGGCAACGATTTTGGGGGTTTTGATCCCCCGGGGGGGGGAACTCCCATATAAAAAGCACAGAGGTGCTCGTCGTACTTTTTAGGGGTTAAACAGCGGTTTTAGTACCTCTTAGGGTATTCAGCCTTGATGGGCACCCACCCCCCGGGGTTCACACTTGGTGCCCGAGCACTGGTGCCTGGGCATCGGTGTAAAGTAGTGTTGTGTTGAGACACTGGGTACTCCAAGAACCCAAGTACCATTTAGTGCCTGAGTACAAGTTCGAGACCTTGTACCTGGGCATGGGTATTATACCCGAATTCTGGTATGATTGCTTGGAAAAAAGGTGTGTTCACAATTTCGTGCCCAGCGAGAATGACACTCAAGCACCATGCTCGCGCACTCAGTGTGAACATAGCCAAAGAAAAAGTCGTGTCAATCCTAGTGAACCCTTGGTAAACTCAAGGCTCCACACAGACTCTGTAAAATCTCTGCTGTTTGGAGAGCTCTAAAGCTGTCTCAAAATCTGTCAGTTTGAAAGGTTCACTAAACAGTTCTTCATACGGATATTTATTACAGGTTCTGGCCAAAAAGGCGACCGCTCCATCCAGATGCTTTGGGCCATAGTTGTGTACTCCTGAAAAAGGATCAAAAACAACAAAAACCAGACGTCAGCCTGTCTGACTGGCTCTGAGCATGCAATTTGATTGGCTGAAATTGGACCAGCCAATAAGAAGCAGCTATAAACATTCTTGCCCTTACATCATTTTTTTTGGACCAAAACTTTAAAAAAAAAAAAATTTTGTAGGGAAAGGGCTTTGCCAAACCTTGTTTGGCTTCTGTTGAAGGCTGTTTTCAGCAGAATATAACTATGAAAAGCCATCTTTGAGAAAAATCTCAATTTACCAGAGAACATGTTGAAAGTTTCTTGACAGATTTCTTAATTGTAAAACAAACAAACTTTGGAACTGTCAAATCCAAAGTCAAACAAGGTTCTAGGGAGGTCACCTCATGCTACAGTAAGCTCTGGCCTGATGGGCCACTTGGTTTGTATGCAGATTTACCTACACTCTAAGCTGCTCTTTATATGCAATTAANGGGTAAGATGCCCAATCTTGCCCTCTCACTTAGCCAATCGCAGTGCATGATTTGGTTCATATTGCAACGTATTTCATACAGTCTAACAATATTATCGATACTGGGCAAAATCAAAAAAAACTTTTTTATGTTAAATTGTGGTGTAAATATAATTTACAAGAAATATGTCGCTAGCAGTTGAGTTATCAAGTAGGTTAGACTGGTGTGTAATATTAACTGGTAGGAATACCTTGAACAAAGATGCACATTTTTGTTGTAGTCCATCTTTGCAGTTTTCACACTTGTTGCAACAGTTGACGACATGAAATGTCAGCCTGTCACCCTTGTTGAGGCCAGCATCTGGACGCATGTGATCAATCACTTCTATGATACCTTCATGTCCAAGAATGCTAAAATTAGTTACAACAGAATGACCTTATACAGTGGAACCTTGATTTAATTAATCTCTGTAAACATATAATAAAGTGCTTGGTTTAATACATCTAACTTAATTAACAAATGATATTCTTCGTCCCACTAATAGTGAAAATATATATATCAAAAAGAATCCAGGTACAACAAAACCACATTTAATTGAACATTTGAAGATGGTGAGACATGACACTTTTTTGACGAGCCCAAGAATTTTTGGATCACACGTACTAAAGGCATCTGTGGTCAAGTGTCGATCAATCAGTACCCTTGATCAACATTCAATCAACATATATTGTAAATTAACTAACTGCAGATGGTACTGTTTCGGCCTTCTGGGCCTCATCAGTGCAGTGCTGACGCTAGGATGGAGGAGACGCCATATGGTCCCCCCAAACAATCCATCACTTGTTGTATCGTAATGACTCATCCTAGTAGAGTGCTCAATTTGGACATGAAAGCAAAGCTTTGTATGCCAAAGAGCTATATCTAACTGCAGACAGTACTGTTTCGGCCTTCTGGGCCTCATCAGTGCAGTGCTGACGCTAGGATGGAGGAGAAACCATATGGTCTCCCCAAATGATCCCACACTTGTGGTATCGTCTAAGCCATGCCAGAGCACTCAAACTAATAAACTAGTGAGCATTATATATGTATTGTAACTAGTGCATGTATAAATAGTGTAAGTATATTAGGAGTGTAAGTTGCAAGTGCAGTGCAAGTGTAAATGTAAGTATAATATTAGTACTGTAAGTAGTGTATTACCGTTTGTCCTGTGAATAAAATTGCATCAAAAAACATCATATGTACTCATATGTATCAATTGACACTCAATGGTGTGTCTGCGAAAATTAAGTTGACTCTTGACTGACTGTTGACCAAGATGCTGATCGAGTGTTGAGCGAGTGTCAATGAAGGTGTCAATCCAGTGTCAATCGAGCATCGATTGAGTGTTGATTGAGGGTCAGGGAGGGTATCCATTGAGGGTATCCATTGACACTCGACCATGGATGCCTTTAGTGCACATGGACCTAATTTCTAAGCCCTCCCTCCACCCCTGGGAGGTGTATTCCCTCATATATAAAGCTACAAGGGTAAGATGCCCAATCTTGCCCTCTCACTTAGCCAATCGCAGTGCATGATTTGCTTCATATTGCAATGTATTTCGTACAGTCTAACAATATTATCAATACTGGGCAAAATCATAAAAAAACTTTTTTATGTTAAATTGTGGTGTAAATATAATTTACAAGAAATATGTCACTAGCAGTTGAGTTATCAAGTAGGTTAGACTAGTGTGTAATATTAACTGGTAGGACTACCTTGAACAAAGATGCACATTTTTGTTGTAGTCCGTCTTTGCAGTTTTCACACTTGTTGCAACAGTTGACGACATGAAATGTCAGCCTGTCACCCTTGTTGAGGCCAGCATCTGGACGCATGTGATCAATCACTTCTATGATACCTTCATGTCCAAGAATGCTAAAATTAGTCAAAACAGAATGACCTTACACAGTGGAACCTCGATTTAACTAATCTCTTTAAACATATAATAAAGTGCTTGGTACATGTACAATAAGTTAACAAATAATATTTTTCGCCCCACTAATAGTGAAAATATATATATCAACAAGAATCCAGGTATAACAAAACCTTATTTAAATGAACATTTGAAGATGGTGAGACATTACACTTTTTTTACATGCCCAAGAATTTTTGGATCACATGTACTAAAGGCATCTGTGGTTGAGGGTCGATCAATCAATACCCTTGACCAACATTCAATCAACATATATTGTAATATATGTATTGTAACTAGTGCATGTATAAATAGTGTAAGTAGTAAGTACAGTGTAAACGTAAATGTAAGTGTAATATTAGTACTGTAAGTAGTGTGTTACTGTTCATCCCGTAAATAAAATTGCATCAAAAAAAACATCATATGTACTCATATGTATCAATTGACACTCAATGGTGTGTCTGCAAAAATAAGTCAACTCTCGACTGACTTTCGACCAAGACGCTGATTGAGTGTTGATCAAGTGTCAACAAAGGTGTTAATCCAGTGTCAATCGAGTATCGATTGAGTGTTGATTGAGGGTCAGGGTATCCATTGAGGGTATCCGTTGACACTTGACCATGAATGCCTTTAGTGCACATGGACCTAATTTCTTAGCCCCCCTCCACCCCTGGGAGGTGTATTCCCTCATATATTAAGCTACACGTATAATACTGCATATTGCTGGTTTTCAATGTCACGCAATTCAAAATAGATCAAAGGAAAAATCAAAACCGGTCAATAGATAAAGTCCAGAATCTGGGAAATCAAAGAAGGTAAATATGCAAAGCCTCTCACCAAAATTCTGGTCACAGCAATTTTTCTTATGCGAGA